GGGGGGGGGGGGGGACGGGATTGGATCGCTAAACATGGTGCAACATCACAAGGCGGTGTGGGTGCTTTACACCACCGGGTTAGAAAAGAGAGTAGGTACAATGGGTAGAGCTTAGGAGAGGAAGTCGAATTGTGGGATTGGTGAAGATGCTGGGCGGCTAACGATGGAAACATGGATCGACTCTTGGGGATTGAGTTGGTCGCTTTAGGACAGCTCAGTGTTTAGGGAGACACATACTCTACACAGATAGCAATGAATAGATCTTCCTCTTCTTCGTCTAAACCTCATGCTCACATCTCTAATTACCAGAGGGTGCACAGAAACACAGAAACACAGACACATCATTATCTTTCCCATCTGCTAGGTATCTCCATGTAAAGTTATCCAGCGTGTACTCTAGGAAGGAGGAACCAAAATATCAGCCAATCCCATCATCACATACCGCCGTCGTCGGACATCATCTGCAAACATACTTTTAGTAGGTACCTGTACTTATCCGGGCAGAGAGGATAAGCTCTCCTTCAACCAAGACAAGCTTCTGGAAAGCCCCCCACCTAGAGACGCAGCCGCCGCCTTCCTTCTCTTTTGATACTTGGCTGCCGTTGCAAATATATTGCTTCAAGTGACATCTGCGCGTCCTCGTCCCATCACGACACTTACTCACTCACACTCTCTCTATTTTTCACGTTCGTTAACTCGAATCAATCACTTGAGCAACCTGCCTATTGATTGAACCTCCGATATCTGTGGTTTACCCAACCTCCAAAGGCTGCCGACCGCAGCCAGAAAAAAGACGTTGTCACATCCAGCTTCCACTCATTTGGTGCCATTGCATTGCATCTCAGGTCGACAACAGCAGACCTTGTCAAGTTCAACCACACTCTTTGGTCCTACAGAAACGCCCATCACTCTTTTTTTTACTTAGTTTTCCATTGCTCAGCCACATTTGGCCTGATCCTGTTTCTCGGTCTGTGCCTGTCTGTGTGTTTAGAGGTGCTTGCTCTACTCTAGTCTGCTATCCTCCCCCAAAGGGCCCTCCCACACCTCTCCACAGACCACAAACACCCACGCTTCCCCTTCAAAGACTTATTTTGCCTTTTCACGCTCTCTCCTTCACTCGTTTCCCCTTAATTCCTTTCAGAACCCCGTCTTCCCACTCCCGGAGACTCGGTTCTTTTCTCTCCAACCGTCAATATGCGAGTGCGACCCGCAACCCCGCTTAGTATCATTCTGCTGGCCGCATTTGCTCTCTTACTGCTGAGTGTTCTGAGTACTCCGATCATTCCTGGGATCCACCTCGCCGCCTATAACGACGTTACTTTCGGCGTTTTCGGCTTTTGTACGTCGGGACAATGTAGTGGCTATGCAATTGGTTACAACACAGGTATGTCTTTACCATCGGCCGTGGGGATTAGGGAAGATGGGGCGAGGGGGAGGTCCCGCGAGGCGAGAGGGTAGATGAGGCTGTGATGGCTGGTTCGGCGTTATTGTGACCGCTGTTAGTCTTGCACTATGCGGACGCGATGTTAATTGGTCCCATGCGATCATTGCCGTATCTTGCAGCTCGCCTTCCTCCCCCCCTCGTCCTGCCCATGCATCAATCAGTAATTGCTAACCTAAAATCATCATAGCATCTGGTGAACTTTCGAATGCCGACTTTTCCCTCCAGTCTAATGCCCGCAATTCACTGACACACCTGCTGATTGTGCACCCCATTGCGGCACTATTTACTCTAATATTATTAATTCTCTCGGTGCTTTCGCACCTCAACGGTCCCGCGCATTCTCCCCGATACTTGCTTGCTATTCTGATTCTTTCGCTACCAACATTTGTGCTCTCACTTCTTGCCTTCCTAGTTGATATATTAATTTTCCTACCGCACGTTCAATGGGGCGGTTGGGTTGTTCTCGGGGCGACTGTTCTCAATGCTATAGCAGGAATCATAACCTGCGGTATGCGCCGGACGCTTGTGCAAAAGGTCGCCCGTCGCAAGAGAATCGCAGAGGCTCCGCCTACGAACGGTACAGAATTTTATGCAAACCAGCCGCAGGTCGCGGCGGTCCCCCCGATTCCAGAGAGCAACATGGGCGATAAGATGCCGGAATTTGCTACTTTCGAGGTGGATAAGCCTGTGCACGGGGAGCCGGAGGGAGAGCATATCCCATTGAACCCTAGATCGCGAGCCATGCCACCGTCGGCGCCCGAAGAAAGAGTGATGGGTGGCGCGAGTTCGTTTAATCAGCCTTCCTTACGTCGTGCGCCCAGTGATAGGAGTGAGGGATATGGACCGCCGCCGAGAGGTGCGGGGCCACTCTCGAGGCCCAATCCACCTGGACAAGTAAGAGGACAATACCCGAATCAACCAATTCAATCGGCGAATAATGGTAATCCGGGACCGTATGGCGCTCCGCCACCGAGAGGATATGGTAGCCCAGCACCTGGATATAACGGAGACGGCTATAATGGCAGACCTCCTCAAGGCGGATATAGAGGACCCCCCCCCCAGAACGGACCAGGAGTGTTCAACCCAGGCACAGGACTGGGGCCCCCTCCGAGAAGGGGTCCTGGGCCGAACCAATTTGGATCCCGTGGGCCACCGCCGCAAAATGGCGGGCCATATGGAGGCGGTGGACAATACGGAATGGGCCCGGGAATGGGAATGGCACATCATAGGAGACCGATAGAACAGCAACCCCCGCCACAACATCAACCACAAAGAGAAAGCCGCGAATATGATTTCCCTGCGGAGCAGCCACACGTAGACGAAAGACGGGAGTTTGAGCAGACGCTTCCTGCAGCAGCAGGAGGCACGGCAGTGGGAATTGCAGCACCAGCACCAGCACAAGCACAAGCGACCAACGAGAGGTATCGTGATGATGATAGGCGCGTGCAACCTGCCGAGTTGGCTGCAGATATGCAGCGGGAGCCAACTCCGCCCAGGTTGGCTGTTGTAAATGATACTAGACAGCTGTACGACAATGAGTAATACCCCTTTATCACTCTAACTTGCTATTTACCTCCCCTTTATTAACAACTTATAGATATGTACCCCCACGTTCAGTATGGAATGGGCAAAGCTCTGGTACTCCGCCGGCTCAATCTCGCACGCCGCCCCCAGCTGAACTTCCCACCGACGCCGACGCATCTCCTGCCCGCCGTGGAAACAATGCCGCTCCTCGTCCGTCTGAAAGTTATTACGAGGATGTGGCACCAGTATTCGATGCTACCCACGTTGCACATTCGCAGTCTCCGCACCCACATGCACCCATGCCCGGCGGTATGCCCGGGCCTGTACCGTACAGAATACATATACCGCAGCAGCAGCAACAACAACAACAGATGCCGTTACGTACATTAGAAGACCTTCAGGATGGCCAGAGAAGTCCCGCAATGAGTACAACCAGCAATTTCACAAGTATTAGTCAGAGGCCCCCAAATCCTAACTGGGTGCCAGGACCAGGTCAGCCGCCAATGCCGGGAGGAATGAACCAAGGGCGACGAGGACCGACGTCTAGTCAATTACTTGGAGGAAATCCCGACTTTGAACTGCCAACTGGACGAGGCGGGAGGTTCAGAGGTGGGGCAGGTATGGGGAGATGATTTTGAGGGTCAATTTTAGTAAATATCGCGGAGAGGAGGGTTCAGTTGTTATCTTTTTGTGTGGGTTCTTTATGTTTTTATCTACTCCCTGAGATTTCCAGGTTGAGAGGATTGATGAGTATTGATGTCGGAATTAAGCAGACAGGAGGATGGTCTGGTACCGCGCATGTTGTTTTCTTTCTTTCCTGTCTACTCTAGGTTCTTGCTGTTCTTTTGGTAGGGCGTATTTTCATGGTCTGCGTACACCGATCCCCCCCCCCCCCCCCTTCTATGTTATTTTAGGGTATAAGACTTCGTCCCGTCAACGACGTTAACTTTCCCCTTCTTTAGTCACGAATCTAGTAATGACAGATTCAGCTATTCACTTCTTTTCCTTCTGCTTCCTTTGTGCGACATTTCAATTTTTTCTTGTTCTTTCGATTCTGGGCATATGATTACCATATAATCTCTTCCACGACCAAAATAATGGCCTTGGGGTTTATGTTGTTCTGATTTTTCTTTACTTTTCCTTTCTGCATGGGGGCAGGCTATTATTCTATTTGATTACGCGATTATTGATGGGGATGAATGACAGAAACCACAAGGGAACTTGAGGGGGAGTTCACATGCACACCCTAGTTTCGATACATGTAGCCATCGACATTTTCTTTTTATTATATTACATACATGTATTAATGTTATCCTTTTTTCAGTGAATGATGTTTTTATTGACTTTCGGTGCAGTGGATACCCTTATTCTTTTATTCTCTCTTTCTTTGATTGCCTTTATGCCTTTACTTACTCCCTCCCCAACCTTCATGATCATGATATCGTTTTTTTAATGCTGCATTTTTTCTCCTTAAACCTTTTCTCTCTTTTTCTTCTTTATTTCAGTTATGGGAGTTCAGTTCAGCGCGCGTGTGTGGCCACCGTGGGTCCAATTAGGTCGGATTGCAGTCCAATCAATGCATAATTCTTATATATGCACATCTACTTTGAATCCCGCTGGTTCCGAGATTTGAGGTGAGTATATCGATATCGATATATAATTATATTATCCGAAATGAGATTGCAGAGCATAACCTGGTAATTGTAAGTCTAAAATGTCATCTTAGTATCATGATACAAGGGGATTTTAATACGCAATTGTAATTGGTCAAAAGGATTGTTTAAAAACGATGCTTCTAGCTTCCTCTCATATACACATCTATTCGCAGGTATGCTCTGCGAAAGTTACGGCTGCCTACATGAAAGTGTGTAGACATCCTACGTGCATGTACATATATGTACCTGCATCTGCGCTCGAAACTGACCCGTGCCGAAAGCTAAACTACATGTATTCCTCTGAACTTTGAAAAAATGAATAAATATTACGCCAAGGTACTTATTTTTAGGTGGTTGTGTATTCATGAAAAATTAAGTCCCTTCGACCAGAGTCGAACTGGTGACCAACCGGTAAGCAAACTATTACAGCCGGGTGTGATACCAACTACACCACAAAGGGATTGGATACCGTAATGGTATTGAATCAAATTATAGCCAAATTTAATTTAGAAGTTTGTGTTCTGGGGTTGTAGAGAATGATTACATATACAGCGCCTACCCAAAGGTTTTCGTGAGAGCCCGAAAGTAGGTGAGCCGTGAAGTCCCGCACAGGATCTACCTAGAAACGGGGTTCTCCACTACAGCACCTCATTACACCTCAACCACTTCTTTTTAAAGATCCGAAGACCTCTCCTGAGAATTAAAATTCTTTACCTGTGTTCATCACTGTAATTAATTTTGTTGTGGTTCTATATTGAAAACCTGGTTCCACATAGTTTGGGTGGTAATTGGCCCTTTCACGAACACTTTTGGGTAGTGGCTTTACATATAGTACCACAGTCACAGAGAGGTAAGTATTGGGGGTAAGCTGCGCCTTTGATAAACCAAGATAGTAACCTGATATTGATATTAATTCTGTCTTTAACTAACATTCATAAGTATGAAAAACCCTTCGCTATTAATGATACCCACTCAGAGCTTGCTTCTTCAAGACGGTTAGAACATGTCTCTTCAAATTCCCCGAAGAGGATACACTCGATCCAGACTTGCTACTATTCAGTTTTTCCATAATAAACCCCCAGTTCGCACTTTCAATCGCCATATCAAACACAATTTCGGCCTCTTTCTTCGTCATAAACGCGATGGCACCCTTCTTGGTGCCTGCGGCCGGCGAAGAGGGTTTTTCTGGCGAAATAACCTTCTTAGTGAGAGGGGCACGCTTGTTTTTCATGCTAAGGACTGTAGGTTCCTGGATCTACAGTTGTAGTAAGTAACGAGAGCTTTTAAGGATTGATAATAAGCCTGGTTGGTCTTTACCTCAACACCCGCACCCGCACCCACACCCGCACCCGCACCCACACCCGCACCCGCACCCACACCCGCACCCACACCCGCACCCACACCTGCACCCACACCCGCACCTACAGTAGCAGCAGTAGCAGCGACTTTCTGTCTTTTCCCTTTTTCGCGTGTGTTGGATTTTCCTTTTGTCTAAGGTACGTATGTATAAGAGTTCTGCTAAACAATTCATCGATGGACTAAGGGATATACCAAAGACAACTTAGACTCATCATCACTCGCACTTTGACCACTGGTATTAGTACTGTCGAGCTCCTCTGACTCGGGCTCCTCACCGCCGTGCGCCCGCTTGTGCTTCGAACTCTCGCGCGTAGAAGCGTGATTCATTATGACCGTCATAAAGTTTTGAAACAGAGTGAATTGGGTAGATGATGAAGCTGAGATATCACTATTTATATCGGCTCAGTTATATAGATTCCTTCCTGCTGTGGTGGACTATGCAGGGACATAACATCTCTTATCATATGCCCTCCCACCACACTCATAGGCTTTATTCTCATGTTCCATAGACGGCGGGAGCGATGATGTCAGCTGAATCTCTGTTGGTGTGTTTGTTGATCATCACAAAGATTCCAAAGAGATTTTGAGTGTGATTGAAGACGCTTGGGCGCAAACACTTCTGGTGATGAATGAGAGCTTGAAAAATTGTTGCAATTGTTCATGAACATGGTGTGTGTTGATGGAAGCGAAGCCTCAATCGGCCAATGGAAATCAATAGAAGCCGGAGGTTTGACAAGCTACATGTATGTAGTTGTGATTTTTGGGCTAGGTAGGTTTAGGTTTGGGGTCTTTTCCCTTTGCTCGTACTAGCTAGAGGCCACCGCTGTACTGTGGTATTGTTGCATTTATGGGGATGACGTACGTACATGTATGTACGTAGAGTATCAGTATCAAATTTTGGAGAGAGGCCCGATACTCTGGGTCCTTGCAATGCAACAGGGTCATTGATCCTGGATTGTTGGCAAATGAAGAACCAAAAGAAGAGGCTTGTGTCCTTGGATCGATTTTGATTGGATCATATCTTAATCAATCGTTTGCTTGGCAGTTGGTTATGTGCGAATCACAGATTATCACTCGAGCATCCTCCAAACACGATTCCGGAGCTGAGGGTTGGGTATCTCGACCACACACCAGAGGAAGAATTTTTGTCCTACTATTCTCCGGCATAAAGACATACAGAACAAGGGAGGTACAGAGAATGCGTGGAGACAGCTATCTGGGCGTAGTAGGGCGCAGAGAAGGCTTTAAATACATGTAATTGTATAGTACTAGCATGTAAGACTAGCTAGGATTAACAAAGATTGAGATATTCATCTCAGCTGACATAGATTCATAAAGTTTTTATTTGACGAAGGGCATAAGGTGTACTTCGTATAGGTCACAGGTTTGGCCTGCCCCACATTCTTTGTCAGTGAGCACCTAGGCGGAACACAACTACATGTAGCTACATGTATGTAGCTAGACGACATTTGCGCCCCACTGAGCCACGCCTAGATGCAACCAATTCTCCGGAAACGCGGAATTCAAGTCGAAATTCTAATTACCTACGCCTACTTTTAATTTACAAAGTCATGCATGCGCCATTGAGTTTCCGTATCCGGGTCTTACACACAACCAGCAGCGTTGGATGTATAGAGGCCCTAGTGAGGTCCAATTGTTTGAACACTCACAAGACGTCACATCACGATCACAGTCATTGCGGTTTTCTAGGTGACTTTGGTGGGGGGCCGGCAGTATGGCGCCGATAAACTATGGTGCAAAAGGGAGTAGAGGGAGACCTCGTCAACCCTGTACACACCACCTCAGTCAAATCTTCCATTGGCTTCGGGAAGCAAACATTGAGGAGCCTCACATTTAATCCGACTTTATGGCCATCAGAACCAATAAGATATTGCACTGAACTGGTGTGAACAGGGTTGACGGGGTCGCCCCCCAAGGCCTCTCGCATCATATAAATGCTAGCAGGGCTTTATCCGATTATGCACGGCTATATCTATCTATATGCAAGGCCACAAGGCTTTTTATTTACTCTGTGACTATTGCGGTACCTACATGTACTTAGGCACGTCTTACTCCAGATCCTGGCTGGCTTGATTTCTCGGGTAGTATGCTAGACGTCACGTGAAGGGTTGCTGAACCGCTGAACTACATATGTATCACGTGCGGTAACAGGTGAGCGGCGTCGTTTTTAACCAGGTACCTGAATGTAGATGCATGTGCGTAAGATTCAATTGTTGAAGTACATGGACGTTGATGGTGTTTGCCTACTATGTAATCTCTAAATATCATTTTTGAGACCTTAAACATGATATTATTGACCATGACAAATTACAACAGGGCCTGATGTTTTCCTTAGATTATTGCAGAGGATAAATACGATTCACCCGTACCCGGCTTACCCTAACTACATGTATGTACCCCTTACATGCAGGCTTACTATCGTCCTCGTGCGTCAAGCCACCTACGCCCCGCACTTACTACATTATGGCCGTGGTATGGGGCAGAGGCTCACGTTCACATAGACGGTTTTGAAAAGGTACCATATCGTACCCTACAGACACATCTGCAATAGGCACCTAATACGCATGTATTTCTGTGCCGAAGGCATAGTAAGGATCGGTATTGTGTGCGACGTCACATGTGTGTACATCATCTGATTGATTAGAGTAAAATAAAGTTCTTAGAACTGTAGATTTGAGTTATGCGCGTATAAACGTAGAAGTATGAACGCCTAACTACACTACATGTATTAACTCAATGACGTATCTTTGGGCATCATTCGGAGCTGGAGTTGTCCTGACGGATCGGCCGGCCAAATAGGACTCCTGATTATTTATAAATATATGCACGCAGCTTTGGTATGTTTTGTTGTCATACTACATCACTCGCTTATAAAGCTTAAGTTAGTTGCACAGCCGAAATGGAAACCCTAACTACTATAATAAGGGCCCGTTCGGTTGCACCCAGATGTCGTGATATTTGGCCCAATAGGGAGAAGGTCTTAACATATCTGGTAAAAGATATGCCTTTTTAGGTCAAATATCATCATATTTGAATGCAATCGAACAGGCCCTAATCCATTGTTCTTGGGCCTAGGCGAATTATGTAATTCCGGTGTTGATTGATGCAAGGAACATGTTACTTCACACGCTACATAAGGCCGTTCCGCTAGGTCGCTTGATGAAACTCTCGTGGCTATGCTAGTGCTGCTGTCGTTTCTCCTACGGGTGAGGTGTACCGTAAAAACTCGATATGTGAGCCCGGGCTCATCTATCGAAACCGAGATCTCTGGTTGGTTGCTTTGTGTTTCTCTACTGCTATTCACCCTGTATTTTTGGTTTAGGCCCAGGCTCACCTATCGAGTTTTTACGGTATCTTTAGGACGGTTGGCCACCGTGACTCGATGTGCTCGAGTTGGCACCGCATGTGTGACCGAATGCTTATATTTAGGAGCTCTGTACATACTCTACTCGTAGCTTGATAGCATTTCCGAACACGACCAATATTGCATACCATACAAAAAAGCGCCAAATCCACCTTTTTGTATGTCATGCAATACTGGTCGTGTTCTGAAACGCTATGAAGCTACGAGTAGTACATACATACATGTACTCTAATGTAGAGTATGTACCGAGGGGTGCCGGAAAGTGACTCAGAATTTCAATTTTTAACAAAATACAATGCTTAGGCAAGATGGATATTTTAGCTATACACATGATATATGAGCCTCTAGAATAGAGTCTACATTTTTCTAGGCTATTGATTTAGGGTTTTTAGCCTGAAAAAGGGCAACTTGTGATAAGTGACAGTAATAAAAGGAGAAGCAATAGCGATTCATATTAACTCTTATAGATTCGCTCTACATTCTGTTAGCTAGTCTGGTTGTTGAGGGATACGGACTATTTGATCGTTACATCACTTTCCGGCACCCCCGGGTACATACATACATACTCGCTATCAACCATAAGAGCCTGAAAATGCGAGTGACGGAGACAGGGATAATTGGTATGGAGAATTGTTTTGGTCCATACAAATTATCCTTGTCATCGGCACCTGCATTTTCAGGTTCTTATGGTTGATAGCGAGTACATACATACATAC